TGTTTTAAAACCAAAACCTAATTGACTGCGTGCGACGGATAACAATCTCATTTTGTTTTGTTGCTGTTTAAAGAATAATATTAAGACGGATTCATTATAATTGTAACAATTATTCTAATCAGAATTCGTAGATAATACTTCATTAGTAACAGTAAACTAATTAGACAAATATCAAACCAGATAAATATCTGATTTCTCGGGGAAAAATTAAGTTTCTGGATTTTGCGTGTAATAGATGCTATCGCTGCATAACAATATCTAATGAACTATAAGATTATTTATAGCAGAAAATTCAAACCGACTAAATCCTTACTAATAGAAACGATTTTGGAAATTCTTCTTTCATGTCTTTATATATATTTATACATAAATAAGTGTTTGAAAATTGCGACTTGTCTTGACATAAAATCTATTATAACCAAAGTTGGAAAAATTTTAAGCAAATAAGAAATTTATTCATTTAATTTAAATCATTCTCACCATAAAAGTAAATAAAAGATGCATTAATTATAATTATGATTTTAAATTTCAATAATAGCATCGATTTTTTTTCTAATATCTAATCTTATTGCTTGTTATTTCTTATCCCACTTGGTAGACAGCAGCATTTAGACCAAGTACAAGAACCCGTGTGGTCTCATGGATGGAGGAAGTGTTGGAGCACCCGTAGGTAGAAGTTAGACTTGGCTCCGTGAAGCTGAAGATGGAAGGCAGTGCCTTCCGAGAGGACTTTTAGGGGGGAACTCCCGGACTCAGTCCTACTCACCGGGAAACCTCAGCCCTAATGCTCATTAGCGGCGATCGCTGTCACGAATCGGACAGTCTTATTACTTGAAGTTTATGAATGTTTCTAAAAGTCAAAAAAATGTCGACATTTAGTATTGAAGTAGTTATATCATTCAAACTGAACACTAAATCTAAGAGACTCCAGATTGATTTTTTTTTGTTTTGTTTTAAATTCAACCGATATTTGCAGATCCAGCATTTGGCATATGATGCCCAAGCCAACAGAATCAACAGTCTTTCTTCTATGAAATCTGCGGCCTAATGGCCAATTGGCTAGCGCTCTGGTCTTTGGTACCACAAGCTTCAGATTCGAATCCTAGCGGTGGCATTAATGGTTTCGAAATTCAAGTTAAATACCGGTAGGTACCAGTTTAATAAACCCAAAGTGTGCAAAAATGACCGTAGAGCGACAAATTAAACCAGATCTACGAAATGTGCTTTTATTTAATCTTACAGGCATTCTAAATATATTGTAAAAGTTTTACTGCAAACAACCAAAACCTTCAGAACGTACGGTTTCAAAACCTTATTGAAATTTAAAAAAATAATAATAAATAAAAAAATTAGCATAAATTGCAGGAACAGTTTTATACCAAGAAGTTTTTTTTTTTTTTCTTTCTTAATTGAAATGGGCTAGAACTCTATAACACGATATCATCACAGAATAAGCCAATTCTGGCATGTTCTTACTTTTTCCTTTTATGCATGTCATTGAGAAAAATACATAAATATGGAAAAGAAGTAAACATTCTGTGAGAAAAAGACCTTGGCAGAAATTAACCGATCTAATCCTACTAATAAGTTGCCGGCAAATAAAGCAGAAAACAACGCCAGCAGAATTTTAATTGGCCGTGGTTTTTAAACATTGCCATCTATATGATAATTCCAGAACGCGCGGAAAGTAAAATCTCACACCCCATCCAGAATTTTCTCCCTTGACTGACAAGTACAGGTGTGCTATTTTCAATACACCCAAGGTAGAGTTACCACTTAGGAACTGGCTTCATTTTTTTACGTAAAAACAATAACAGAATAATAATGCATCTTTAGACTTAATTGAATATAACAATAGATGATCTTTTTTTTTTATATTTATTTTCTATCTCTTTTCTTTGTTGCAACTCTTGTGTCGGCATGGGTTAGATCCTAGTTTCGAAACAGGTTTGTTAGAACTTCAAGGTCGTGAAGCAAATATTGCAACGAAGTGTTGTTTTTTTCTTTCTTATTTTATTAAAAAAGAGTGTTACTAGTTTAATAGGAGCGAAAAAGATGTATTCAAAAGATTGCAGTAAACTTATTTTGAGATGTACGCCTTGACGCCAAGGTGTTTAAGATACGATCAAGATTTTTCTTTTTTTTTCCAACCCATCTAAATCGTTATTACTAAAACGGTTTTTTTTTTCCCCCTCTATTATCGATCATTTTTGCTTCATTTACGAGTTTGTTAAAAAACAGTTATCTGTAGCATGACAATAGACATTCTAAATTACAGATGAGGAAATTTCTGATTGATATATTCCTATTAGCTAAAAATAATTTGGATACAAGTTTTTTCAAAAGTTCACTTTGCAGTAGCAGGTAATTTCGTTAGTACAAAATCGTTTAATGGAACTTATATTATTTCACAAAAAATAATGGTGATTTAAATCTAAAATTCTGAAGAACTTTCTTCAATTTTTTTTTCTTTCTCTAACATATATCTATTATTTATAATACTTTAACTATTCATAAAACTTAAGACTAGCATTATTTTTTATAATTTGTATTCTTGAACTCCATATCTATATTTTTGTTAAAAAAAATCGTTTAGAGAATTGTAGGTTTCACAAAAAAAGATGGGTTAATGAAAGATTCAGAATACTTTTCACAAATAATAACTTCAATCTATGTGTCTCAATTTAATGCTTCCATTTATATGAAAAAGAAAACATAATTTCTTATTCAAATATTTATAACATATATATTAAAAGTTTCCACTTTCTTCGAAAATTAAAAAAATTATATTCAAAAGACTATCGGTTTAAATTAAGATGTGAAATTATTCAAATTTTAAAAATGATTTTAATTGGAAAATGGACAAAATCGAAAAACGTAATTAATAGTAATAATAATTATTAAGCCCGACTCGTAGCAACGTGCGCTGCTGGTAATCATTAGGCTGAGATACAATCTACTGGCGGCTTTGTTGTAGACACTGTTTCAAAAAAAGAAGAGACTCGATGGCGTTTGCGATATTCAACATCTTGCCCCGTTAGCCGGACTATCTGATGGGAGTTTTTCGGGTTTTTTCCCATACGATACAAAAATACTGGGCAATTCCCCTAAAAGTCCACAGTTCCCTTCTTCAGAGACAGGGATCCAAGTTAGATTTCAACCTACGGGTGTTCCATCACAACAGAAGCTGCCCCTTTCCCTCCATTCACTAGTAGATTACTCATGGGACGTCCATCCCGCGCTGCAGGACATTGGGGATTAAACACAACAAAATTATTAATAAATTTCAAAAAAGAATTCAAATTTTCATTTATTAGCAAAAATTAATAATAAATCATTATTTTATTTTCTAATTTATTTGCAAGTATTTTTCTGAATTCCCGTTTGCAGGAAGAATCTACCATTTTATATAGAATGCTAGCTTTATTTAAATTGAATTTTCAACCACACGCAAGACAAACGGGATGAAACGTTATACACTTCAAAATTAGCGAATTTCACCCCGCAATTCCCTAACCGAAACCGGGGAGTTAACCATCTGGAGAAACTAAAGTAGGCCAAACTAGTATCTACAACCCACAACAAATTAAGCACCATAAAAACTCATCAACTAATACAATTACAAATCATCGGGATTATATGATGAATCCCCAACTTGCCCAAGATCTCCCAACATGGTCGGGAGCACAATTAGCCAGACTTAATTCTCTACCAGATCATAAATTACTAAACACCCGACCGAGTCCCAACACCAATTGGCAATCTCCCTAATTACTTCAAGACGAATTACGCCGGGGTCTTTGCCTCAGATCATCAGTCCGACCTGACACTTGAATTCCTAATGTCCCGTTCGAACAGGGAATAGGCGTTCTCCCGGGTATCGTAGAATCCCAAATCCCGGAGAGAAACGGGAGTCAGAGTGGGTCAGAGGACGCGAGGTCCCCTTGCATTTATTCCGAGAAAAATGAATGAGTGAGTCGGATTCAACATGGATTCTTTTTGAAGGGGTATCGTGTTGGGCGAGTTCAATGTGATACGAAACTGAACTCTCTAAGCATGGACATCGGTTACTAAGTAATAAAAGATTCATTGACCTCTTTTAATCTTTATCAAAAGCCTCACTGGACTTGCTTTCTAAAAGATTGCAAATCAAAATATTGCTAATTTTAAGAGTAAATCGCATAACTGAAAAGTATATTTTATATGATGATGATGATATTAAAATATATATATATATCCAATAAGAAAATGAATGTTCTAAAAAATTATAATTGGTATAACATGGATGATTTACGATATCACAGTGATAGGTGATAACTTGATGTAAAAATATTTGCAATGTAATATGTTAAGTAGTAGAATAGTTTTCAAATGCCAGGTATTTTTATTAATGTATTAAAGAAGCGATGGCAAGTAAAGGTATCGTAAAAATGAACAACTCGAGTAGAATTAAGCGTGGTTCCTCGCTAAAAGTGAAGCTGCTTATTAACCCTTAGGCATGGACCTGTCGTTTGCGACGGGTCTTTAGGATCTGGTGTAGGCTTTCCTGCATCAGTGGTATTAATAACAATAGGATTAAGCGTTATGTAGGAAGAGACTACAATATAAGAGAAATAAATGAATGTTCTATCAGAGAAAAATGCATGTCGTTATTATTGTCGGTAAATTGTATTTGTATTGTAATCAGTAAATCAATCTTTTTTTTTTTAACAACGGTGGGCTTTATACCACGAACAGCATGCCGACTGAAGAGAAGAAGACAATGCCTTCTGAGAGGACTTTTATCGAGTCTTCTCAAAGCAGTGATTACAACAATGTCGCCATCGGATTGGAACCTCGACCCTCCAGCACACCAGCAACGAACATTGCAATTGGAACACGAATCAGGCAATCGATCTAGTTAACGAGTTATTTATCATTTATTCTTATACTGAGCAGTACCAAAGAATATATGATGAGAGATAAATTTGTCAATTCATTGATTACAGGTGATTAACGCCAACGGCCATACCATGCTGAATATAGCGGTTCTCGTTAGATCACCGAAGTCAAGCATCATTGGGCGCGGTCAGTACTGTGGGTGGGTGACCACCTGGGAACACCGCGTGCTGTTGGCATTCACAAATTTGGGACCGGAATGGCCGAGTGTCTAGCGCTCTGGCGCTCGGTGCCACAGGTATCGGGTTCGAATCCCGGCGGTTCCCATAGATGTTTGTAGTGGTTCGGAATCCACTTTAAGCCGTAGGTCCCGGTCTCCTATGACAATAAGAGCGTCACAGAGCCAAAGTCAGACTTCTACCTACGGGAGCTCCATCACAACAGAAGCTGCTTCCTTCCCCTTCAATCATGAGTACGTATGGGCTCGTGGGCTTGGCCAGACAAGTGGGATAAGAAACAACAACACAGGTGATTCATTATATATCATATGATGTTCGTAATATAAATGTTAAATAAATAGTTTTACTACTCTACGATGGGGATAATAAATGGCGCGTTGGGTTTTCGAGCCAAGTGTGCTTAGACACGTGTGCTTTAAAAACCTCTAAATAGGTAAGATGATTTCAATAAAAGGTAAGATGATTTCAATAAAATAAGCTAAATATAAAATTTAATCATACCAGAAAAATATTTCAAATAAATTGTGATTATAATTAAACAATAATTGATGTAGAATTTTTAAAGCTTTTTAAATTTTTTTGTGACTTAACACGACAAACGATGCTGAACCAAAAGTTTTCGTGTTTATGATGGGGGCGAACAGCTCCTTCCCGATTTAGTGTAAAACATTTTAGTTCAAAATCATTTGTCGAATTTTCGAACTAAGCACCTCTGTTTCGAAATCCTAACGCGCTATTCATTACGTTCCAGCCACGATATTAAGTGTTTATACTATTAATAATCAATAATTTATACATTTGTAATATAATTATGTTAAGACAACTTCAAAGAATACACAGTGAGAAACAACTCGTTAATCAGATTGATTAATTAATTACAGCCCAAATGCAATTACTATACCTTCTTTCCATAACAGAATATGCATTTATTATTTTATTTTTATCTAGCAGTCCCTACACAACACTTTATACGATATTAATAAAATTCAATGTATTAATAATAACATTTTATTTTCTCTCATATTCGGCCAAACATAATCAAATTATGTTTAAGATCTTATTTTGCCTAGTTGTTCTAACTTTTATGCCATCATATTTATCACATACAGTTCTTTAAACAGGCACTTCATATTGATGTTTACTGGCCTTATACACAGAAAGAGAAAAAAAAAATTAATATTTATATACCATTATATAAAATTGGTATAACCGATAACACTAGCGTTCCCTTTGGCAATTAAGGAAACCTTTACCTTAAAATCTCTTGCATCTTTTGTTATAACCAACCATTTTAAGCCATATATTTCATTCGGATGTACATAATGGAAATTCAGAATTTCAAACACTTTAGATTCCACCCATTTTGCATGAAATGTTGAAAGCCACTTAAAGCTGAAGAATCTCGATTTTAAAGCTCAAATGAAATTGGGTCACTCTCGTAATTATTTGATAACTCTCGTAATTATTGATTTAAAATTATTGAAACGCCACAAATTTAAAAACCTCTAAATAGGTAAGATGATTTCAATAAAATAAGCTAAATATAAAATTAAATCATACCAGAAAAATATTTCAAATAAATTGTGATTATAATTAAACAATAATTGATGTAGAATTTTTAAAGCTTTTTAAATTTTTTTGTGTAAAAAATTTTATATACCGCATATATAAAAAATATACCGCCCCGAAAAAATATACCGCCTATTTCCATGTACAAGCCGAAAATGTAAAAGTGTTTTTAAAGCTAAATTATGGGAATCGGCTTATATACGAATCCATTAATCGTGCTAAACACGTAGGTATTTTTAAGTTAGTCAGTGGAAGCAATAAATCGCTGAATATAGCATGTTTTTATTTCTTTAGTTTATATTTCTTAAGTTTATAAAAAAAAATTTTAAATAAATGAGTTATTCGTTTATGAAAATGAATTTTTATTTTAGAAATTGTTTGTATAGTTGGTTAATTGTGTCATCGTCGAAATGAAAAAGTGATGTTGACGAAATTTGCATCAGGGTAATGGAAAAGTAAAGCAGAAATAATAATAATAGAATACTGTAAATAATGATCGTTACAAGATTTTTTTTTTTTTTCTCATTACGGTTTATATATGGGTTTTGAATTTTGGGTAAATTTTTTGAAGAAAAAACGCACTTTCTGTTTGACACAGATAGACGTATATTTTCAATACGTATATTAAAGAAAATAATGAGTTTAAAGGAAAAAGTCATTCAAAACAGCACGTAATAAAAGTTAAAATCTGCTATTATCCATTCTATTTTATTTTTTAAGATCTTTATAACAGGAAAAGTTTCATGATATGAAGGATGAAACTGAAGAAGATGATGAAGCAAAAAGCATTTTTAATAGTTAAAACTTGAACAATGGCACAAATAGATACGAATTTGTATTATTATCATTAATCATAGTAATCTGAATATTTTTTACTTTGCTAAGATTTTTCTTAAAGAATAAAAAAAAAATTATTTTTTTTAAAAATCACGATTTTACGATAATTTTTTTTATTTATTTTTTCTTTTTACTCGTGGGAAATCCCTTCACTAATAATGTTACAAAAGTTGAGTTCCATACAGCGAAATTTATAAAAAAATTTCACTTAAAAGGAAAAATCAAAAATGAACAAAATTTAATTAAACGTTAAAAAAAAGTTAAGAAAATTCCAAAGAAATATTTTGAGATATTTTTAAATAACACGAGATATTTTGCTTGATATTTTGAGCAAACATTCTTATTTTCTAATGAGAATGGTAATGAAGAAAAAGAAATTACTATAATTAATTTGAAATACTGACATTAATTGCTACTTCATATATTGTGATAGGCAAGCTGTTGTAGTAAGAAATGCTTAAATATTATTACAAAATATTATGTTCATAAGTGCATAAAAAATTCAAATAATATTAAAATATCAAATTCTGTTGAATTTAACAATATTTTACAGAATCATCAAAATATGAGAAAAATAGTTATGTATCATCAACATTTTCTTCCATCCATCTAGAACAAATAAATAAAAAATTTTAAATTACTGTTTTGATAATCAGATTTCTCAAGACATTTGAATTTTACGATGAATGATAAAATATTAATACAATTATATCAAACGAGTCTCCAAAAATCTCAACAAAAAATTATTATTCTTATTGTTATTAATAACACTGATCGTCATCTCAACTCAAAATAAGATTTCAGCTGTAAGCTTCCAATGAAGAATGTGAATTGAATTAAACAGTATAATTTTTTCCCCCGCAAATAGCAATTTTCTTATCACTTGCACTTCAACACATATCCAATATATTATTGTAGCTATGTTTGCTGTTTCAAAACATATAACTTACTATAGCAGACATTAATTTTTCAGATCTATCTTTATACGAAAACGTATAACACTTGTGATGGCCTTTCATTTTTGCCAGACAGGGCAAACTGAAACCCCATTCATCAAAGAGGGGCAGACCAAAAAAAAAAGTCACGTGCAAAAGAAATTCGTAGGAATGAACTAGGCAAGAAACCGTCTTTTAAAGTACGACCTTTCCGACCTTTATACCTCGGCACGACAAATTCTTACCTTTGTAAAAAATATGTGCAGGTTTGAAGACTTCACTTGCTACACGCAAAATGGTACGCCATAATTTTAAATGGCACGCTATAAACATTATAGGTAGAAATGAAAAACGATTGGTTCTTAACTTGTGAAACTTAATACTGTAACGCATTGAACTTGTAATTGATTGGTCATGTCCAAAGTTGAAAGAGCGATCTTTGAACTTCCCATGGTAAAAAATTTGGATTATTTTATTACCATAGATATGCACGGTATGAATAAACGCTGTTTTAAATCTCTATTTGTTTCTTCAAATAATTTATAGCCCTGAATGTAATGATGATTTTTTTTTTTTTTCCGCTTTCAAATTGTTTGCGTGCGGTTTAGTTGAAGTCGATGTATGGTGGTTTGAAAGAAAACATGAACCAGCTCTGTTTGGCTAGAGCAAAAGGGTAGCGTGATAAATCATTAATTTAAATATACATACATACATACAAGTAGAACATTTTTTTAGTATACGTTGATTGATGTAATAAGTGCTTCATTAATATAAACTGTGGATAAAACAAATGAGAAGTAATAATAAATAATGGTACTAATAAAAAATAAAATAAAAATACATTTTTCATTAGTCTAATACAGCGATTCTCAAACTTCTGAGGTCGGGGCAGATTTAAAAATCTAAAAATAATTGTAGATGCACTTTAAGCAGATTTCTGGCAAATAGTATGCAGCTACTAACGTCTCATAGTTTTATATCCAATTGGTCAATATCACAGACTTACTATTTACAGTCGGAGGAGTCTCAGAAGCTTGCGCTCCTAGTAGCCAACCATGGAAGTTACTGTTCTTAGTTTCTCGGAAGACTACTTTGGCGACTATTTATGAGAATAAAGAAGAAAAAGGCAACCAGAGAAGCTAGTTAATGGAATGAAAGCTATCTTTGAATGGGAAAACTATCAAGAAAAGGAGTAAGTATATTTATTTTTATATCTGGTATATTACTTTGGAATACCATTCGGAAATCTTCTCGTCGTGGTGTACCCTTTGTGAACCACTAACCTAATGATACATTAAAAACTACGAGAAAATATGAGAATCTTCGTCTTCTTTAATAATATTAATACCTAAATGATGTTTAAAATTTAGCGAATTCATTCGTATTATTTTCACAATTTTCATTAAATTTAAGATCCAATCCAACAAATGTAACCAATGGTGTTAATCCAAGAAATGCAACGAAAATAATAATAATAATTTAAGTTCACAATATGATTGGTAAAGAGAAAATATCAAAATTCACAAACACAAATTGAAAGCACGATTTTGTAACCATAAGGAAAACATTTATTTTCAAGTAAACAATTTTTTTAAATTTATTTTCAAAATTCTACTACTGCTACAATGTTTCATAAAATCCTAGATTTTTTAAAT